TGGTTCACCCCCCAAATAGCCACTACGGCTGGCGCGCTGCGCCGATCCGAAGCCAGGAGCTAGGTGCTTCCTCCTGGTCTCTCATGCGGGTGCAAGGACCCAAGGACTTGGGCCATCCTCCACTGCACTCCCGGGCCACAGTAGAGAGCTGGACTGGAAGAGGAGCAACTGGGACAGAATCCGACGCCCCAACCAGGACTAGAACCCGGGGTGCTGGCGCTGCAGGTGGAGGATTTGCCAAGTGGGCCACGACGCCGGCCAACCCTGCCTTTTTTTTTTTAACCAACAATAGCAATATCTATGAACCTGAGGCATAAATCAAGCCTAATGAGACTTCCTGGAATTATTCCCTTTCTCTGACTGATGATCCTATATGCTTCTGGCTCTTTTCAAACAGCTCATCTTTCTCATGCAATATCGACACTACTTATTATAGCTCCATGTCGCCTTGCATCTCTGTCAGACCAGCCCAAAATGTAGAACTCCTTGGGTGGCCCTCCTCATACAACAGCCTTTCATTTTGCCTTCACTGCCAGGTTCATGATTCCTTGCTGTTTTGGGAAACTTCCCTAAGCAGGACATGGTGAACTGCTCTAGCTCCAACCTTGATTGCATTTTGACTTAACTGCTCACGCTCTAACTCCTCTCTTGATTTTCTTTTCGTGGTTAGGATGGCCCCGGGGATTTGGCTTCCTGTGCAAATACACAATAACTGGACCGGACCCTGGGACCAGCCCTTCCAGGGTGTGGTCAGGAAACTGGTAGAGCGGACTAAGAGGGCCCTACCATTATATCCACTGTCACTACAGTAGTCGGCACAGTTTCCCTCGTCCAACAGTGCACCTCCAATGTGATGTTTGCTTCACAGCTGTTTGTGTCACCAATGTGCCTTAGATTGAGAAACTCAATATCATAACTTGTCAGCCTATATCAGGGGCCCTTGGGATAGGGAGTTTTCTCAGGCGCTCTTCAATTTAACCCAAACTTAATGCTACCTGCTTTTCTATCCTGGCAGTTACCACCTTTACACAGGGACTGGTCGATTACTGGTGGAATTCTGAAATTTTGGTTCCACCTTTGTGCATTGATTATTGCAGTAGTGGTTATTGTGGCTTGTGGCTTGTGGCTTATTGATCTGTTTTTTCCATGCTGCTCTAAGCAGGGGCACATCCGCCTAGCGAAAGGCTGCTCTACTGGCTGAGATTTTGGCTGTGGAGATAGTTTGCCCTAAAACAGAGTGGGGGGAGGTGGGTGATCCTGTGCCTTGCTGGAGGATTGCCTTCCTAGCCTATGCAGGAGGTCTAGAGGGCATGGCACACCATGCCCTCTGGGAAAAACCCTGGTCTAGAACTCAGCACACTGAGATCCCCACATATGACCTTGACAGCTGGCAGGCGGAAGGGACCCTAGGCACATTTCCCCCACCCCCTTTTCCTGTTGAGGGGCCTTGTGATTGTCAACCAGGTGAACAATTCCCAGGTGCGGCTCAGACCCATAAGACCACCTGAAAGGCTACATAGGCTACATGACCTTCATGCTGATTGGAGAAGTATAAAGGCACTGACATCTGCTTTATCCTATAGAATCAGTGTTGCTACCCTGAGCTAGCTACTCCCCTTTGCCTGCCCTATAAAAGCTTGTGTCTGGCTGTTAGTAAATGGACATGATCACAGAAACTGTCTCTGGTGCTTCTTGTCAAAGAATGCCATCGCCTCACCATCCTGAAAGTGTGGGCCTTGCAGGACGAGCCCACAAAACCCTGCAAGACATTGACACAGGCAAAGAGGTCTTGAAAAAGACCCCAAAGGCACAGGCAATCAAAGCCAAAATCAACAAATGGGATTACATCAAATTGAGAAGCTTTTGTACTGCAAAGGAAACACTCAGGAAAGTGAAGACGCAACCAAGAGAATGGAAGAAATTATTTGAAAACATTGCAACTGATAAAGGATTAATAAAGAATTATTAATCTTTATTAATTAATTTAATTAATTAATTTATTAATCTCTATTATAAAGAATTTATAGAGATCAAGAAACTCCACAACAACAAAACATACAACCCAGTTAAGAAATGAGCTGGTGCTGGTGCTGTGGCGTAGGAGGTAAAGCTACCGCCTGCAGTGACGGCATCCCATTTGGGCGCTGGTTCGAGTCCCGGCTGGTCTACTTCCGATCAAGCTCTCTGCTATGGCCTGGAAAAGCAGTGGAAGATGGCCCAAGTCCTTAGGCCCCTGCACCAGCGTGGGACACCCGGAAGAAGCTTCTGGCTCCTGGCTTCAGATGGACGCAGCTCTGGCCATTGCGGCCAATTGGGGAGTGAACCAGCGGATGGAAGACTTCTCTTTCTCTGCCTCTCCTTCTCTCTCTGTAAATCTGACTTTCAAATAAAATAATCTTCTAAAAAAAAAGAAATGGGCCAAGGACTTAAACAGACATTTTCCAAAAGAGGAAATCCAAATGGCCAACAGACACATGAAAAAATGCTCAGGATCACTAGCCATCAGGGAAATGTAAGTCATAATCACAAAGAGCTTTCACCTCACTCCAGTTAGAATGGCTTACATATAGAAATCAATGAACAACAAATGCTGGTGAGGATGTGGGGGAAAAGGTACCCTAATCCTCTGTTGGTGGGAATGTAAACTGGTACAGCCATTATGGAAGACAGTATGGAGATACCTTATAAATCTGAATATAGACCTACCATATGACACAGCCATCCCACTCCTGGGAATTTACCCGAGGGAAATGAAATCAGTATATGAAAGAGTTATCTGTACCCCCATGTATATTACAGCTCAATTTACAATAGCTAAGACATGAAATCCACCTAAATGCCCATCAACAGGACCGGATAAAGAAATTATGGGATATGTACTCTATAGAATACTACACAATGGTGAAAAAATGAAATCCAGCCAGCGCAGCGGCTCACTAGGCTAATCCTCCGCCTTGCGGCGCCGGCACACCAGGTTCTAGTCCCGGTTGGGGCGCTGGATTCTGTCCCGGTTGCCCCTCTTCCAGGCCAGCTCTCTGCTGTGGCCAGGGAAGTGTAGTGGAGGATGGCCCAAGTCCTTGGGCCCTGCACCCCATGGAAGACCAGGATAAGTACCTGGCTCCTGCCATCGGATCAGCGCAGTGCGCCGGCCTCAGCCGCAGCGGCCATTGGAGGGTGAACCAACGGCAAAGGAAGACCTTTCTCTCTGTCTCTCTCTCTCATTGTCCACTCTGCCTGTCAAAAAAAAAAGTGAAATCCAGTCATTTGCAACAAAATGGATGAATCTGAAAAATATCATACTTAGTGAAATAAGCCAGTCCCAAAGGGACAAATGCCGTATGTTCTCCCTGATCTGTGATAATTAACAGAGCACCTAAAAGGAAATCTGTAGAAGTGAAATTGACATTTTGAGAAGCAATGACTTAAACAGCTCTTGTCTTAACTGTGGAAGAACAGTTTTTTTTTTTTCTTAATATAGAATGGAACTGGGAATGGGAGAAGGAGGATGAGGTGGGGTGGGAGTGTGGGTGGGAGGGTGAGTATGATGGGAAGGATCACGATTTTCCTAAAACTGTATTTATGAAATTTGTACTCATTAAATAAATGGCTTCTTTGGGGAAAAAAGCTGTTAGGAGGGTTCTAGCAAGAGGGGCCCTAGCGGAACTAAGAGGTTCAGAAGTTGCTCCTGTCTGCTACAAATGGGGATTTAGGAAGGGATGTGGCCCAGGCCTGAGATTCCTGCTTTCATTCATGTAGTCATGGGATTTGACAGGATAGAGGATGGGGGTGGCTCTTAGCCAACAGATAGGAGGAGACCACATTTCTAGTAAGACCCAGCAAGGCCAGAGAGCCGGTTAAGAGACCTGACCCACAGAGTGGTCACTGATGTAAAAGTCCTATCCCCTGCCTCAGTTCCTGATCCCAGTAACTTCCACTCTGGTTCCATTCGCCAAACAGATAGAGAAGTCCATCTTCCTTCCCTGGAGGGAGGAATGGGGAATAATGCTGTGAGGATGTATCATGATTATGCTGAGTCCTCCCCTAAAAAGATTGACTGCCAGTCACTCAGTTACTGCTGGTTACTGTACCCTGGGGGAAAGGAATAGCCAGACATCTCTAGGAACACTGAAAACAGTGTCTAAGGAGACACATGATGGCGATCCAAAGTGTCACGAGAGTGGGACAGCAGTGGAAAAGAGCACTTGTTTGTCCACAATCTCTGGCCCCCACTATGAAAGCTTACATTAATTGTAGCAGAACTGGCATATGAATATTGATTTTTAGTTTATCTATTCAAATTCAGTGATGGCGAACATCCCTTGAGGTGTCCTCGACTATAGATATTTTTATGAACTGACTGGGACCGGAAGGGGAGGAGTGGATATAATAGAAGTGGACAAACGGCGGTATGCCAAGCCGCCGAGGCTGGTGAACAATTCGCATCAAACGTGCTGGTTCCCACAGAGATGGCTCAGCCATAGTTCATACATCACTTACTGTGTGGCTGGTTAGGGGAAATAGTGGCTGATTTCAAGTCATTAATGATGCACTTCCCTGCCTATTTTGTTACCAGAGGTCGATCTGCTTGTGGAACAGAGGCTTGCAAATTCATTCTGTTCGGAGAGCTTCACAGGCATTATTACCTTCAGTCTCACTTAGCCCTGAGTCAGATGCCGTCATTACCTGTCCCTCCCGCCCCAAGCTGTACAGTGAGGGAACCGAGGCTCTGCAATGCGGCCGTTCTTCGAAAGCAGGCACCAGGACCGAGTCGGCGGGAAAGGAAGAGGTGGGATGAATCCTGGACATTTGGTCTCCACCACCTGATTGGCTTATGGCCACTCAGTCAGATACCACTCTTAGTAGCAAAGCAAGCACACTCGTCCGTATTGGCTGAGGCCTGGAGGGGGTGGGACGAGAGGGAACACGCTGATTGGCTGGGGGCTGACCAATGACAAGGACGCTGCGCAGTTCGTAATGCGCGCACTGAAGCCTCGCGTTGTTTGAAGAAGTAACCGCCTTTCTCGGGCGTCGTTGCTTCTGACGCTTCCTTTCCATTTCTCCCACCGCTGGAGTTGCGACTAGATCAACCTGCTCTCAGCCCAGCCTACCCAGAATTGCAACATGAGCTCCCACAGTAAGGTGTCTGGGGTTAGCGAAGGTATCGACCCCAAGAGCGAGGAGCAGGCCAGCCCCAGCGGCCTGGGAGCCCTTCGGGCACCTGAACTAGGCTTGGATTTGGGGCTGTCGGGGAACGGCGAGGGCCAGGGCCAGGGCCAGGGTCAGGGCCAGGGCCAGGGCCAGGGCCAGGGCCTGGGTCAGGGCCAGGGCCAGGGCCAGGGCCAGGGCCTGGGCCTGGGCCAGGGCCAGGGTGGAGGAGAGGGTAGGCCCAGTGGAGGAGAGCGTAGGCCCGCAAGCCCGCAGTCCCCCAAGTGGCAGTTGGAGTTGGACTCCGGGTGTGAGTCCGAGTCCGAGCTGGAAATGAGCCAGGTGGGGGCAGTGGTGCTTCGTGGCTTCCAGGCCCAGCCTTCCATACCCGCCTCTAATGAAGAGGGTGCTGTGGGTTTCACGGCCCAGTTTGCTGAGTCCTATGCAGCCATAGTGCAGCCACTGAGCCACATGGGTGCCGGGGCCTTGCGTAAATCCCCAGGTATAGGAAGGAGCGCCGCGGAGGCGGCCGCCATTTCGGCACCTGTCGAGGCAGGCCCCAGCGGTAGAGGCCCACTGAGCTGTGAGGAATCACTGCAGGCTTGTGCTTCCTCTCATCACATGAGTGCTCCCAGGGAAGGCCGGGCCCAGGAACACAGTAAGAAAAGAGATGGCAATCATAACATGAGTGGCAGTACTAGTGTCCAGAGCGCCTGCGAGGAAGGTGCAGTGGGGCTGCCTTCCGACTCTGAGTCCTCAGATGAGCAGGAGGAGATACAGCCCATGAGGGTGAGCATTCAGTTTAAAAGAGGAGGTCAGGCCAAGGGCAGCAGTATGGAGGTCCCGGGACAGAATCCAAGGACTGTGACTGCCCACTGCAGGGAGAAATTTCCACACACGTCAGGGCCTCTCCTGACCTCTGCTCCCCGCCATCTCAATTGGGCCGTGGAAAGACAGGCAGTGGGAGAGCCGGGACCCTCTTCCAAAAAAATGCAAAGTGTGCTCTCTGGGAGGGGAGTGGGCAGGCCCAGCCACATAAGTGTTACTGCCGCCGCTGCTGCCGCCGCCGCCACCACCACCACCACCACTACCACCACTGCTACTGGTGCAGGGGGCCTGCTCCTGGGCACTCCTAGGAGGAAGCCCCTCCAGGAGAAGAGATCCCTAGGTGTTGCCTCCGAAGTTGTCCTGGGGATAACCTTTGCTCCATGGGGGCACAGGCAGTCAGCAACGCCTGTGGAACCAGCCGTCCTTCCTCCAGTCTCTGGTATTTCACTGCTTGAAAAGCCTAGCACATCTTCCCCACTCCCTTGGGGATCCAAACAGTCCAAACAAGGTGGAGCTGGGAAGAAACCCGGGGCCAAGAGCAAGTCCCAGACTGTGGCCGGTAGAGATCACGGCCCATACAGAGACCCAATGGCCCAAGTGAGTAGGTCCTCCTCCTCCCTCTCCTCCAGTTCTCCTGCTTATTCCTCTGTCCCCCCTTCTCCTTCCCCTGTACCTAATACCTCAGCTCCCCTATTGCTTCTCCTCTCTGCATTGCCTGTCCCCCAGCAGAACTCTCAACTCCTGCTCGCTCTATCTATTGTTCAGGGGTTGACACTGGAAGCTCATGGTCATTAGTGTGCCAAATTGGGGTACTTGAGGTAGGGGCGAAGGGCCGGAGAGCCTGTAAGTTTCCTGCCTCCTCCCCTCAGAAGAGCTGTCATGGAAGGCAGGGCTGACAGCCGACTTCGGATGGGGTTGACCTCCTTGCAGATTGGGCTGCAAAGCTGCAGTGTTTGATTTACTCAGCCTCCTGATTCCTGCGTCTCAGATGCTTCCCAAGCCTGCCTGGCAGAGGTTCTGGGCTTGTAAGGACCTCCACTCTTCTCCCCAGCTCAGCTCTGCCTCCTGGCTCGAGGCTGACTGTGGAAGAAAGAGCTGATGAGATGAGCCTCCAGTTTCCCTCCCTACTCCTTCACCTTGGCCCTACACACACAACCTACGCTGACACTGACACACACTGTAGTCCAACTCTGAGAAATTTTTGTTTAGCTTCCAGCACGCAGGCCTGGGGTACCTTCTCGGTACATGCATCATGGAGAACTCAGCAGTGGGAGCTCCCACACACGAGATCACCAAATTCCAGAACATGGACCACTTTTGTCCCTCAACCAGGCTGGAGTCACCCCCAGGGGCCCTGCATTCCCTGGTGAGTCTGGTGAGTTTGATTCAAGTGGTGGAAAGAGGGGTCAAGGAAAGAAACCTCTGACTCTATCACTTCTGAGGGCCTCAGCCTTCCTTTTAGATTTCTGTGCCTACTCAGACAGCTTCCCACATGAAATTGAGTGTCAATCAGGGTTGGCCTTAGTGAGATTTCTATGGTGGGGTTGGTTTGTGGCTGTGCCCCAAGCTCCAAAACCAGAAGTAGACAATGGAACAGAGCTTTTCCTGTTAGGTCCTCCTGGGAGCCAGCTGTGTCTATGGTTCTGCCAGTGTGAAACCCAGAGTCTTAAGGGACTGTAGTCACACGGGGTCTGACACTGGGACACAGGGAAGGCAGGCCTAGAGTAGAGGGTAGGAGCATTTGGGCAGAGCAGGGTAAAATCATTGCCTGCAGAGGGTGAGGCTGCCTCACATTAGACGGCTCCAGGCCCTTTCCACCTCACTCCCGGGCTGGGAGCTGGATTGTGCTTTCTGTTTCAGGAGACCAGGAGCCACCTGTCCGTCCTCGGAGACCAGCAGTGCAGCAGTTACCACGCGGAATCGAGGGCTGTCCTCGGGTAATGCTGTCTCCGGCTGCTAGAAATGAGGGTCCAAATTCCCTGGTGGGATCTGTGTCCTGGTCCAGCATACCCCTGTGCCCCCTGCTCACCGTCGCACACACCATGGATAGTGGGCTCCTCTTTCCTATTGAGGATTTCCTGCAAATCTGGCCTCTGGGCAGCGGGAGGTGGGGTTCATAAGGATTGGGAGTGGTTAGTCATAATATGTTTATTTCCTCTCTCTCTGTATTGCTCTTCTAGTGTGTCGTGCTAGAGAATGAAGCGGAGAACCTTAGAGAGAAGCTAGGTATGATAAACTCCAAGCTGGGGCTGGGCTTGGGGTAGCTCAGGGAGAATTTGTGCAGGGCATGGGCAGTAGTAGGTTGCAAGTGCAAGTGTTGTGCCTGAGAGCCACATTCCTTAGGGGAGGAGAACCAATTAGGCCTGCACTGGAGCATTCTGTACATTTACAACCAGAGGTGTGCACAGGAAGGAATGCACTGCCTGGGCTGCACATTCGCTTTGCCAAGGAGACCCAGAGACTTCTCTTAGGATGTTCAGAGCTACCTCATGTTCTTTCCCTGGGAGTGCAGCATGCTGTGGATATTATGGGTTCAGTTATTAATGTTTGCCTTAATTGATTTTTTTTAAAAAATATTTATTTGAAAGACAGAGTTAGGACGGGAGAGAGAGAGAGAGAGAGAGAGAGAGAGGTAAATATCTTCCATCTATTGTCCAGAGCTGGGCCCATCCTAAGCCAGGAGATAGGAGCTCCCTCCAGACTTCCCATGTAGATGCAGGGATCCAAGGACTTGGACCATCTTCCGCCGCTTTCCCAGACACATTAGCAGAGAGCCAGATGGGAAGTGGAGCAGCCTGGACTAGAGCTGGCATCCAAATGGGATGCTGGAGCTGCAAGTGACAGCTTTACCAGCTATGCCACAGAGCTTAATTGCTTTTTGTGTTATGTTCTGAATGGTCTGAAGTTTGAGGACTGCTGGTATAGTTTGTTCTCATTTGGAGGACATTTCCACTTGTAATTCAGGTGATAGATGAGTGAGTCAGTCCCAAGGCTGTTTGCAAGTGGGCTGGAGGGGATGCAGGTAGCAGGCCTGGGGAGTCCCTCTCCCTCTGCCACTAGGGGCTGGGGGCAGAAGGCTGGGTTTCCATAGGCCTATGTCTGCAGTGCCCTGTTGTGTCTCTTTCAGCGATCATGCGATCTCTGGCCGAGAAGTTCCAGAACCTGTGAAGTGAGTGTGACACACACCATACCCCTTGCCACGTTCCTGACTCTAGGAGGGCTGTGTGTGTACCTGTGCTGACACTGCTCTGCTTCACAGGTTGGAGCCAGCGTCTTCTACCAGACAAGCACCTAATACCTGTGAAGTCTGGGAGCTGCAACCCAGCTGCTTCCCTCTGGCTCCTCTTCAACCAGCGCTTCCTCTCCCCCTCTGCTTTTGTCCCCTTCCTACCCCAGTTCCCAGTAGTTTCAACCTGAAGTGTCTCCCATGGTCTGTGCTCTGCCCACTCTGGAGAGTGGGGAGCTGCTCCATCTCCGAGCGTTTAGGAAACTAAGTTGTGTGTTACTGCACAGTAGTAAGAATATGGATAATGACAATGTATTGTGTATTTGTGAAGAAAGCAAACTTTGAAGAAATGGCTTTGAATGTTTTCACCCTAAAGACATATTCGGTGTTTATAGATAGATATGTTTACCCTGGTTGGGCATTGCAGACTGTATATATGTCTTAACATACATGAAAATACACAGTTTTATATATCTGTTAGAAATTTAACAAATTAATAAAAAAAGCATCCCTCTGGTGATCCCTGGTCTGTGTTCTCCGTGTGGGAGATCTGGGCAGCTTCTGAGCAGAAACTCACCATAGTGCCTGGGTTTAGCTTTTGTGTGGGCTGTGCATGACCCCAGGGACATTTACTCCCTTCTGCCATAGGCCCTTTTCTTCTCCCCTTATGTCCTCCAAGCAGTGGGTATCACCGAGCCTATTCTTCACCAATCTTCCTGTGTTTCTGCCATTTGGGGAATAAACCAGCAGATCGAAGATCTCTCTCTATTTCTGTCTCTGTCTCTCATTCTTTCTCTCTCTCTCCTCCCACCTCGTCTTTCAGATAAATAAACTTTAAAAAGTAAGCCTTACTAAGATATAAAGTTAAATCAGATGAAGTTAAACATAAAACTACATGTATGTATAATATTAAAATACATACATACAAGTACTGAAAACACTGGCCAATGATTTGGCGATGATGAATAGGCAGGTCAAGAGATAGTGCATTGCACTTTCAGAAGTCTCACCACTGTTCCTCTCTGGGAAGGATCCAAATTTAAATGGCTACATACTTGTACTGCCAGAGTCTTATGCAACATCCTGTAAAATGTAAACTAATGGGTCTGAAAATGAATTTGTGGTTGTGTGTGTGTGTGTGTGTTGGGGATGCAGGGGGATGACTGATGAAATGTTTGTCAATAACAAAAATGCCAATTAAATGGGAGGTATAAGTTCCAGAGATCTATGAGGCTGCCACACGAAGTTCAAGGAGAAATGAAATTTATATTGGCACAAAAATTTTGAGGTGACATTCATAGTTATTTCCATAAAATACATTTTTTAATTTTTTAAGATTTATTTATTTGAAAGAGTTACAGAGAGAGAGGTAGAGACAGAGAGAGAGGTCTTCCATCCACTGGTTCACCCCCCAGATGGCCGTAATGGCTGGAGCTGCGCCGATCCGAAGCCAGGAGCCAGGAGCTTGTTCCGGGTCTCCCACGTGGGTGCAGGAGCCCAAAGACTTGGGCCATCTTCCACTGCTTTCCCAGGCCATAGCAGAGAGCTGGATCAGAAGAGGAGCAGCCAGGACTAGAACCAGTGCCCATATGGGATGCCGGCTTTAACTCGCAATGACACAGAGCTGGCCCCCCATAATAAACATTTACATGAACTTCTGAAGATTGTACATGTATTTGATTTTTAAAATTTTTTTTTTATTTTTTATTTTTTGACAGGCAGAGTGGACAGTGAGAGAGAGACAGAGAGAAAGGTCTTCCTTTGCTGTTGGTTCACCCTCCAATGGCCGCCGCGGCTGGCGCGCTGCGGAGGGCACACTGCGCTGATCCGATGGCAGGAGCCAGGTACTTATCCTGGTCTCCCATGGGGTGCAGTGCCCAAGTACTTGGGCCATCCTCCCCTGCACTCCCTGGCCACAGCAGAGAGCTGGCCTGGAAGAGGGGCAACCGGGACGGAATCCGGCACCCCGACCGGGACTAGAACCCGGAGTGCCGGCGCCGCAAGGCGGAGGATTAGCTGATTTTTTTTTTTAATTTTTAAAAAAGATTTATGTATTTATTTGAAAGGCAGTTACATGTTGTGGGGAGAGATCTTCCATCTGCTGATTCACTCCCCAAATGGCCACAATTGTTAGGACTGGGCCAGGCTTAAGTCAGGAGCCAGGAGCTTCATCCAGGTTTCCCACATGGATGCAGGGGCCCAAGTACTTGGGCCATCCTCTGCTGTTTTCCCAGGTACATTAGGGAGGTGGATTGGAAGTGGAGCAGCCAGAACTCGCGCCAGTGTCCATATAGGCAGTGGTTTAACCTGACATACCACAGTGCCGGTCCGTAGTCAGCTTTTTGTCGGTGTAAGCAGCTATACTTGAAACAGGTGACTTCCGAGGGAAAGAGGTTCATTTTGACAGATGTTTTGTGAGTTCCTAGCCAAAGATCAGGAAGGCTCCATTGGTTGCTCCAATTTATGAGGCTGGAGGATGGAAATGGCAGAGCACGTGGGTAGGACTGATCCCATGGTGATCCAGGAAGCAGCTGGGACTGAGTCAGGCTTTTCTAACCAATCCCTTCTTGACAGCTACCTTCCAAGAGCATGTCCCTAATGACCCAGGGGTTTCTTGCTAGGTCTACCTCCTAGATACCATACCTGAATCAAGCCTCCATCCTGTTAGTACTGTCAATACGTGACTTTGGGACTTAACCCTCTGCGTAAGTTTGGGAGCATATCTTGTTCAAAACATTGCAGTACAGCATGGTGACTTGAATTAACAAGAACATAGGGAGATCTGAAGATCGATGAGACAAGAATTTCAAAATTTTTAATATTTTATTTAATATTTATGAAAATAGTCTTTATTTTCATTTTATTCAAATATGAGAGAGAAACAGATCTTCTGTGCACTGGTTCATTCCCCAAACACCTCCAACAGCTGGGAATGGGCCAGACAAAGCCAGGATCCAAGAACTTAACCTGAGGCTCATGTATGTGGCAGGGACCAAAGTACTTGAATTATCACGTGTTGCCCTCCAGGATGATGTACACCTCCCAAGTAATGTCTTAACTACTGCACCAAATTGCACCCTTGAGAGATTTACAAAAAAGTAAGGCGATGGATATGTTAACTAGCTCTATTTAGCCATTTCACAATGTATATATATTCATTTTTAATTTTCTGTGAGTGGGGAATAGTGCTGTGACGTAGCGGGTAAAGTGTGCCTGCAGTGCCGGCATCCCATATGGGTGCCGGTTTGTATCCCGTCTGCTCCACTTCCAATCCCAGCTCTCTGCTATGGCCTGGGAAAGCAGCAGCAGATGGCCCAAGTTCTTGGGCCCTTGCACCCATGTGGGAGACCCAGAAGAAGCTCCTGGCTCCTGGCTCCTGGCTTTGGATCGGCACAGCTTCGGATCGGCACTGTTCCGGCTGTTAAAGCCAACTGAGGAGTGAACCAGTGGATGGAAGACCTCTCTCTCTCTCTCTCTCTCTCTCTCTCTCTCTCTCTTTCTGCCTCTCCTTCTCTTTCTGTGTAACTGACTTTCAAATAAATAAATCTTTAAAACGTTTTCTGTGGGTAGAGAGATGCAGGTGTACAGAGCTCCATCCACTGATTTATCCTCCAAATGCTGGCAACATCTTGGCCAGGCCAAAGCTAAGAGCAAGAAACTCAATCTAAAGGTCCAACATGGGTGGCAGAGACTCTGGGACTTGAGCTATCACCTTCTCTCTCCCAGGGTATGCATTAACAAGAAGCTGGAATCTGGAGCAGAGTTACAACTTGAACATAGTTACTCATATATGGGAAGAAAGCATCCCAACCAGCACCTCAACCACTAGGCCAAACACCTACCCATGTGCACATATTTAAAACATATTACACCCTAAATACATACAATTAAATTTTGCGCCAAAGAAAACAAATAAAAATAATATGTAAAATATTGAAATAAAGGAAGATAAAACCACTTTTCTGAAGATGGGTGATACGTTGGAGAACTTACTCATAGTGAGAATGTACAATGGCACAGCAAGTGGAAAACAGTATAGTGGTTCCTCAAGAACTTCAAGATACCATATGATCCAATAATTTCATTCCTGAATCTACATTCAAAAGAATAGGTAGGCTGGAATTGTGGCACAGTTCCATATTGGAGTACTGGTTTGAGTCCTGACTGTACTTCCCTGCTTCTAATCCTGCTCCCTGCTAATGTGTCTGGGAAAGCAGCAGGAGATGGCCCATGTACTTGGGCCAGTGCCACCCATGTGGGAGACCCAGATGGAATTCCTGACTCCTGGCTTCGGCCTGGCCCAGCCTGGGTCATTACAGCTATTTGGGGAGTGAACCAGAGGATGGAAAATCTCTCTCTTTTCTTCTCTCCCTCTTCCTATATCTTGACACTCTGCCTTTGCAATAAAAAAATTAATATTTTTAAGTTCCTTGGTACGAGGATTGTGGTGCAGTGGGTTAAACTGCTGCCTACAATGCCAGTATCAAATGTAGGCACCTGTTAGTGTCCTGCTGCTGCACTTGCAATACAGCTCCCTGCTCATGTGTCTGGGAGAGCAGAAGAAGATGGCCCAACTACTTGGGCCCTTGTCACCCATGTGGGAGACCGGATGGAGTACCAGCCTCCTGGCTTTGGCCTGGCCCAACCCCTGCTGAGGCGGCCATTTGGAGAGTGAACTGACAGATGGGAGATCTCTTTCTGTCTCTCCCTCTCTCTCTGTAACTCTGCCCTTCAAATAAATAAACAAATCTTTAAAAAGATTGGCTATAAAGAAAAAAAAAAAACCAAAAGACTAGTTCGCAGGGTGACAAACAGGTATTTGTAAGCCCCATTCGAGATGCATTGGTCCAATTTCTTATAAAAACATCAGGGTGATGGAGGGTTAATGTCTATCCTGGCCTGCGGACCTGGTATATGCCTATTGCTGTGGGCCCAGCACCACAATGCCAATATCTTTACATCAGTCCCACAATTTCCTTCTCACTATCCCATAGTTATCCCCTTCTATCAACCACCTGACCGAGACATTCAGAGTTCTAGTTTCTGTCCCTATAATTTTCTCTTTCCAGGATGTCATAAAAGGAATCATACTGTTTGTAGCTTATTGGCATGTGGCTTCCTTCCTCAAAAGGGAAATGAACGGACTCCTGAAGATGCAGTGCACTGTCTCCTAGCCTATGTAGTAGTTACCTGACCTGAACACGTTGTAAATACTCTTCTAATTGTAAGTTATATTTTCTGACACACGGATTCTATGCACATAATGTTTATGTTTAACCTTGTGAGAGTTAATTTTTATGTCTTTGTAAGGCTTGCTTATTATTATTTATTAAAGAACAATTGTTGGGGCTGGCACTATGGCGTAGTGGGCTAAGCCTCTGCCTGTGGTGCTGGCATCCCATATGGGCACCATTTCCTGTCCCATCTGCTCCTCTTCCGATCCAGCTCTCCGCTGTGGCCTTGGAAAGCAGTGTAGGATGTCTCCAGATGCTTGGGCCCTTGCAGCTACGT